GATGAAACCAAACTTGTTCTATAACCTTACTCGCCCTTTCTAACATCCTCCTCACCTGTAATCCGTTCCCTCCGTCTATACCAAACCAAAAACCCAGGTTGCAGAACACATCCACCCGGTCTATCCTTTCCTTATTCATCCTCCATTCATACTCTGACTTATTCTTTCTCTTTCTAAACACTACTACTTTCGTCCTACTTACATTCACCGTTAAATCTTTCTCTTGCGCAGAATTCTTCGTACATACTCATTAACATTTGTATCCCTCTTTCATCCTCCGCTAGTAGAACCATATCATCCGCATATGCTAGTGACCACACTTTGCCACTTCTTTTCCCCTTTCTCTGCAGCTTTTTCTCCATATTCGCCAACAGCAGACCGAACAGTAGGGGGCTCAACGGGCAGCGTTGTCTGAGTCCCCTTCTTGTCCAGAATTATTCTCCTTTTTGTCTTCCTATTCTCACTCTGACCCAATCAGTGAAGCATTCCTCTACCCTTCCAATCAAGGGCCCATCCACTTCCCTCTCCCTCAGTGCTTGCCGCAGTACCATCCTGTTCATCGAGTCGAAATCAGCTTTGAAATCCACAAACAGAACGACTAGCTTCCTCTTCCTCTTACCCAGATTTCTATTCTCTAGGAAGTTAAGCATGTATATGTTGTCCAGTGTGCCCATCCCCTTTCTGAAATTTATTTGATTGTGGGGGATACATTTCCTTTCCTGGATCTACCTCTCCAGGCTCCTCCTCAAGATTTTTGTGTAGATCTTATATCCTGCCGACATTAGCGTGATCCCTCTGTACTCCTCCATTTTCCTCTCCTCTCCTTTCTTCACCAACGGGACCATCAACCCCTTCCTTCACTCTTCCGCCCATTTTTCTCCTCTCTGCACCTTATCGCATATCTTCCACATGGCCTTCCTTAACCTTTTTCCTCCGAACCTTATTGCCTCATTCCGTCTTCCACTGTTGCTTTCCCTCTTTTCAAGTTTGTTACCAACTGGTAAACCTTCTCTCTGTTTAACCCGTTCTCTTGCTCTCAATCTCCCTGCCCCTTTTAATTTTCAACCATATATTTTAAAATAAAGAATTTCAATCATCGATAATGATTATTAGATATCCAAGAGATAAACATACATATGATTTAATGTTAAGTAACTCAGCAATTGATTCTATTTATTTACAGACTGATTTATTTCTAAAATATAAGTTATATATATATGTTTGAACTAATTATAATTTTCGTATCAAAAAATTAATGCTATCTCCAGCAATTGTATAATTAAAATGCAGTTAATTCGAGTAAACAGATCTTAAAAAATGAAACATTTTAAATTAAACGTTTTTTAAATGTGTCGATATTCATGACAATGGAATAAGTCCAAAAATGGATAACAATTAATTTTATGATTTATTTTATAATACAATATATAATTTGTAATATAAAATAAATAATATAATAAAATCAATGTTTTCAATTTTGTAACTTATTGTTAGTTTACGGTATATTTATGTGATATATAAAATTTAATCAGATTAAAAGATAGAGAAATAATCAAAGACGAAGATAACAGGTAAGAGACAAAAAAAATAGAAAAAGAGAAAGAGATAGAAAAGCTAAAACGAAAAAGTCGATATGCATGCACGGCAGGTGCGATCGTCGATCATCGAACGCGTCGTATGGCAATAAAAATCGTCAGACGTCTTGGAAAAGTCTCGATCAGATTTTCACGAAAGGTTTTCGTGGATCGAAATCGAAGGGATGTGGGGGAAAAAAAAAAAAAGTGAGAAGAAAATATCTCAGAGCTCCGGCATTTCGAATCCACAAGGAGTCTCGAGTTATTGAAACGAGTGTCAGAGGCTGAACGTCTATCTATCCTGCTCTTTTCTCTTTCCTCCTTCGTCATTCCCACTTCCTTCTCTCAATAATTCGAAGAAAATATAGATCACGTGTTTGCAAAGAAACATACACGTGCTTTCGATCGATGACAACATACGACCTCGTCTGAATACATTAAAAGTTTCATAGTAAATTATCGAGTCATGTACTATAATAGTATTTAATATTAATTACATGTATTTATAGAGAATCCAATTTTAGTGTATATGATGCGTTAAGACAACACCAAATATGTTGAAGAAACGAACGAAGAAAAAAGCAACGATTTAAAAGAGCGTTGTCTGTGAGCGCGCGTTTATTATATAGGCAAAGCAGCGATTATCAAGTTTATATTCCACAATCAGTGTTAATCTATTAAGATATCGTATATGTGTGTGTGTGTATATATATTCCTTACTCGTACGTCCGTTCCACAAAGAAAAGAAACCAGTAAGTTTGAATAAACGAACGGAAACAGTGTTTAAAATAGTTATTTAAAGATTATAGTAAGTTGTGTACATTATTGCCAGAATTGCACTAATTTGTGAGGCTTTTTATTCATTTTAGTATTTATTATCCATACTTCAATAAGTCTAATCCTACAACAATGATAATTTAACGCATAACTTTTTAAAATTTGGTTTACGCATGCACAACAAAAAATAAATTATCATTAATAATATATAAAATAAATAATAAAACAAAAATGTTGACTCTCTAAGTTTAGGAAGAATATTTATTCCATTATTCAAACTGGAAAGTGCATGTATCATATTTGAACGAAGGGATAAACCTGAAAGTATAAAGCTTTTCAAATTATCATCTGGGTTATCGCTCACATATGTGTACGTGATTTAGAGAAGGTTTATGTACAATGTAACATATAAAATCATTGAGTTTTTCATTAAATTTCATAACACAAATTATAATAATATAATTTTTATATTAGTTCAACTTTAATATTTACTTAAAGTAATAATTGCATTTAATATTCATTCAGGTAAATATATTCATTCTTGATTCGTTTTTTATGTAAAGAAAAGTTATAAACACTCGCGTTACTATTCACAATAAATTTACGTGTTTTCATCGACATTACACGTACTATACATCACATATATTACCATACATCAATTTGATAATTTCTCCATGATAATGAGTTTTGAAATGAGCTATTTATTTTTACAACGTTCGTATAAGCAACGTGTCTAATTTAAGAGTATAGGAATGCACGATGTGAAATAGTACCGCTGACGCAATGTCAACGTAACATCTTGACGTCACATTTCTTATTAAACGTGACTTGCATATAATTATATGAAGAAAAAAAAATACTAATAAATATTTAATATTATAAAAATAATAATTTTATATTAATCCCGGAAATATGCATGAAATTATTTCGATTAGTGAATATTAATCATAAAATGATTATATGCATAAAAATGTTTACAATTATAAAAATTCAGAATGGATTTATGACTCAATCGTATTAACTTAATGTTTATTGTTATATAATAACATACGCTATATTTATTACATACGTCCTTCCTTTCGGTCAACGTTTGCTCTCCCATTCTCTTTCTCTCTCTTATCCTCTCCTTGTAATTAATTTTCACGATGTGTATACTCTCACATTCGTACAAATCTAAATACTTCATCGCACAGTCATTATTATACAGTGTGAGACACCCAATTGTATCACCTAAATATCTCCTTGTTTATAATCGTATTAAAAAACTTCAAACGAAAAAGTTGCACTATTACAAGAAGACAAGGGATTTTTTCTCAGTCATTCTTTTTACATGATTTTATCGTTTTTCAACGATATGAAAATTGATAATGATATATGTACATATTATTTATAAAAGTAACTAAAGGAGAAGGAGGATAATTTATAAATTTACTGTCAACAATAGCAACTCATTAACTTAAATTTTCTTATCTATCGAGAACAAAACTTTTAAAATATATAATTTATGTACATTTTTAAAATATCAACTTCGATTCCCTTATTTCTTTTTCTATTGAATTAATTTAAAGATCAAAAATGAAGAAATAATAAAAGTCCAGTAAACAACACGAAACTAACCAAACCTCTAATTAATTGATTTCGTTTAGCACGATCAGGATTTCTTTGTAGCCGATATTTCAAGGAAGAAATTTATGATTGAACGTGATACGTAATATCGCCGTTACGAAAACATCGAATCATGTGATGTTCTACAGGGGATTTCCATTGATCGTTTCTACGTCAAAGCCATTCGAAAAATCTTTTTACCTGTCTTACTTACACCAAAATGAAAAATTGACGGAAATGATTGTTCGCGATGACTGAGGATCATTAATTTTCGATCTAAGGTATCAAGGAGAAAAATGGTTGGATTTTTTATTTTCTGGTGTCATAATATGAATTATTAACATTCCAAATTTAACATTGAAAGAAAAAATAATAATTCAATGATCCGAAGTCTTCTAATTCAATTTCAAATTTTATAATCTAATCTTCAACCTTCTAATTTTTTATCTCCTTTCTTATCTTATTATATAACTTTTTTCATTTTAAACGTTTATTATACGAGTATAACTTAATCAGCACATTTGAATTACATTAAACCCAGATATTATTTCACTCTTTAAACATATTATTTAATAAATATTTTCAATAATATAAATAAAATTTATGCCATATTGTGTTAACTAAATACAGTGTCTTAATATTATACCTGACCATGTACGTTTTTTTATTCCAATTTAGAATTTTTTTATTTATTGCGAGCAAAATAAAAATCTTATAATATCCGAATATCAAAATTAATCTCTATATGTAATATTATAAGATATAAAATTTGAATAAGACATATATATAAATTAAATAACTATTATTAAAATATAATAGAGATGCATGTCCATTTAAATATCTATTATAATATATGCATACGATACTTATAAATACTCATTTTATTTGGGAAATCAATCTCATCAGTTTATAGAGTACAAGGAAATGAAAAACGCGAACTGAAAGATCAATCAGTTCGAGGAAATGAGATTAACAACAAGGAAAACTCGGCTCGTCTGTTCTAATACTAAATTGATAGAATTACTCGATTTGTTTTCTACTTACTTAGTATGTCGAATTGTGGTAACCATCTGCTGATGAAAACGTTATCAGGTTTCGCAGTAAAATTATCATCTTCCCATTTCCAAACAATCTTTCTTGGTATAGACCTAAGGACATTAATAATAAACTGAAGCCTAGCTGGAGGCATCGTTGATGCTTTAATCATGGATCCAAGACAAAAGTACAATACACCTTCTTTTGCTTCATCGAGAAACTTAGCAAGGTCTTGTGGTAGTGGTTTAATTGAAGACGGCAGATGAACCCCACCAATTTCAATAATATTTGGAAGTTGTGGTCTAGAACCATGAATAGACCAATGTGTGTTCGTCAATAAAAGTGATTGTTGTTTGGCAATGTCTACGAATCTTGGTAAATCGGATCCAAAAAGTTTTTCAGCTGGACCACGATGATGATAATTATACCAAACATCGAACATAATATTTTGTACACGAATCCATAGCAGATTTGCAGTTCTATCAAAAAAGTTCATCGGCATTTTTTTGTATCCTAATACACTGGGTATGTTAGCTTCGTCATCGGGATTTGCAATATGATTATTTGTCCAGCTCATGATTTGACAAGTTGATATTCCCACGAAAGGCACCTTGTACTTATGTACGAAACTCAAAAAGCAATCGGTATTGAAGTTCTCGATAAATATTAAGTCGATTGTTTGGTTCGAATGAAGGAATTCGAGAACCCCAGGATTGGTCATTCCATCTTCACAACTTTTTTGACCACGTTTGCTGAGGAAAAGCAATTCCTTTATTGAAGTAACGAACGGAATGTGATGTATTTTACCTAAATTAACCGATTCCTCGGAAACCTCATATTTATCACTAATCAAACTGATATCCTTATAATTTGGTAACGATTCTTTTACTTTGCTACTGTTTGTTCTTGGGAAATACGAGATCACTGTAAGTTCATGTCCACGCCTAGCTAATTCTTCTAATATAGGCTGAATAACGAAGAAATGACTTTTTCCGGGATGTGGAAAAAGGCCAAGAATCTTTAATTTCTTTTCAGATGATTTTTTAAGAAACTCACTTTTCGTCTCGTAGCAAATGAAACAGAAAACAATGTAAACGTAAAAGCACAAATTCATCCAACGTAAATACATTTTATTAGAACTTTCAAACGAACCGTCCGCACGTACATTCGAACTCGTATTGACTGAGATCTTTCCGACCTCTGCCAGATAGTATATACACAGTATTGTATTAGTGTTATTCGCTATATAGAATTTTAAACGATTTTTTTCAATTAATCTTATCAATCATACTTTCGATGACATTACAAATTTTTATCACTATTACACATTTGTAAGAATTCTTGATTGAGTCTATTTAGTATTAGGAAATGTACTTAACAATCTAATCACATTGAATGAAGTATTTCCAATTTCTTTCAGATAATATATAAATACAGTTTTATACTATTATTACTCTTAAAATTAACTCTAAAGTAACTCTCTTTATTTATTTAATTAATCATATTTTTACTGATAAAATAAGAACATTAATTAAAAGTATAGGTTTATTAACTTTTTAATAACGTTCAATTAGTAAGATTTGTGTTTAGTTAATTTACCTAACAAACTACATTCAACACGATTCTATTAACTTAAACATATCTTTTTTAGATTTTTAATCAGAAAACAAATTTAAAAAACTGTTCAAATAACTCTATCTACTTAAAGATTACTGATAATAGTAAAGAAGGAGTTTTATAAATAAACGAACAAAAAGTTAAACTGAACAAGATTTTATACCTACATTATACGCCCCTGGCAATATGCTCATCCCTTCTCTTCTCAAATTGGCACAAATTAGATTGGTTATTCTCGACCGTTGATCTGTTCATCTCACTCTACCTTCCTGTCTCTCTCTCTCTCTCTCTCTCTCTCTTTCTCTCTCTCTCTATCTCTCTATTTCTCACGTTCTATCTCTCCTTCCCTTCCTCACTCCTTTTCTTCATGCTACTTAAATTTCGTTACGCTACGAACGATAGAAACATGAACGTAGCTGATTGCAATGAAATCTTCTTCACGTTAAAGGAGGCCTCGAAAATTTCTCTCGTTTCACAAGCGGCTCGTAACCGATCGGTAGTGCGTAGATATGCTGCAGATCGGACTCGAAAACCGTGAAGAAGAGCTTCGAGCTAATCTCGAACATGTAACGAACTCTCGTTAGAATGAAAATTACGCTTCCTTGATGCGAAACTTCACGGGTTGCTGGATAATTTGAAAGTGAGCAAGCGTATTCAATGTTCAGTAAGAAGAAAACTGATATTAAAAGAAACAAACAATTTTAGAATTTTCGCATTAATTTACGATGACGTTAAACCGAATAAATATTTCCTGCAGAATTCACACTTTTTCTTAATATATAAAAATATGAAATTTATAATGTTAAACTAACGTGTCTGGAATCTTGATAAAGTTTTGAGTTGATTGATGTTAGAACTCGCCGAGGTAACTAATCATTCGGCAAACCGGATAGGAAAATTCATAAAAAAGAAGTAAAAGAGTAAAAAATGACGAAGAAAGTGAATGGAAGGATATTCTTGATTGGTCCTTATTATTATTTTAGAATAGTGATATTTAACTCATATATGAACACAGACCATTAAATTTAGTTTGAGAATTTACAGGCTGCAGGTAAAATAAAAAAAAGTTTTTTATAATAAAATTTAAGTAAATAAACAATTAAAGGTATTTATAATGTTGCATCCATGATTCAAACTTCGAGACGCGAGTTGCATTTTAGAATCTTGCAGGCCATCTGTTTGACACCATTGGTCCTAGAATATAATTGAACTATTTTATGTAAAATCCCTTGCACGAAGTGACATAGCATCAAATTATGATTATGAAATAAATATTTCGTAAGTAAACTTAGGACGAATGTTTTTAAATTTTCTTAAATTTATAAGCCGGCTTAGGAAATTTTGTTAAGCTGAGTATTCATAGAGGATGTCTAAAATCCCAAATAAACAGTAAGCTCTTATATTTTGGCCCTTTATCTTGTCTATGAAATCTATTCAACTAACTTTCAACGAATTCTCAAGGGTGGCCATTTCGTATAACAATACAAAACTTTTAACGAGCATGCATGCAAGCTTCAATACAATCTTTACGAATCAAGCATTCGAATATCTTCAACTTTGTTATTCACTTTTTCTCGTTTCTCTTTACGTTCTCGATTTTATCTTATTAACCGTATAATATCCAATGAGAAAATACAATTATACAGGATCTATTTGCCTAGTATCGAAGTGAAATCGAGTATTGGATATGGTTATATTTCTTAGCAAAAGGAGCAACAGTAACGCAAAACGACGATTCCAACGTTCACGAATATTCCCAAGGGTTAACAATGTCCTTAATGACGTAACATAATTACGAGAAAGCTTTCCCTCACGATGTACGTCACCGGGAAACGCAGTAGCTTAATTGTAAAGCCCAGAAGATCGAGGCTAAGCGGCTAAACGAGCACGATCGTCCTTGACGAAGGACTCTGAAGTAAAGCTCCTAATCTGAACTTTTCCTTCCCTTCCTCTTCAAGCTGTTTCTTTACGTCATACTCTTCTACCGTTTTCGTCGATATAGGAACATCAAGAGATAAACCACAATGTCATCCATAGCTACCCATTAGAGTAATCGCTTTAAAAATAGCCTCTTCTTTCTATTTTATTATTCTCTTACTAGAGATTTACACAAATCTCTTCACAAAAGATCTATTTAACACATAAGATAATGTATACAATACGTGTAAAATAAGACATTAGGTTCTTCTTTTTTAAATACATATTAATAAATATATTAATAAAAGATAAATTCCATTAAAACCAATATTAACAGAATTCGGAATTCATAAGATTTTAAGCAATTCTAGGATTATGACTGAACTTCAAAATTGTCAGTATTTATAAATGTTTATATTCGACTTATTATTAGGGTTTATTTATGATCGGGCAATAACCATATTTTCAAAATTTAAAGTAAACGATACTCAATTAGTTGGCTAGACAATATATAAATAGAGAAGCGATAAAGATAGAGAACACATTGTGGTACGGCGTCAATTGGAAAGTAGATTATTATAAAATAATAATATTATTATCTTGATTTTTGTACGAAAAAATGAGCTTTTGTGCAATATATAAAATTGTATATGATATATATATATTAAATTGAAACAATATTATCATATTACACAACTAATTAACTCCTTTGATCGACTTTTCGTTACCAAGGTTCATTCTTATGCAAATTTAACAGTTGCAAATATTACAATAGCTACTGTCGTCAAATTGCTTCATATAAATGCCGATGAAGGCGGATGCAAACAATAAAGAATAGATAAAATGAAATATTATAATATATGTAATAACATCCTTATTTAACAATTATATATATTTACCTCGTACTCCTACGTAAAGTAAAATTAAAATAAACGGATGCAACAAATATTTACCTACGCGGAGGTACGTAATTCTTGCATTTGAATTAGATATTCTTAGGAAGTTTCAAACAAACGAGTTACTATGATCACGTCATTATTCGTCCATAATTGGCGTTTTTCTCTAGTGGTTTGTGAAAACGAAAATAACAAAGTAGCTCATTAAAAAGGGATAGAGAAGAACAATATAGTATGCAAATCATGTAAGAAGATCAATAAAACAAGTAAACTAGATTAATCGAACATTTTCGAAATGCCAAGCAGTTACGCAAAATGTTTGTTAAACTCGTTTATTCTTTGTTAAGTGTAACAACGTAAATTAAATGATTATATCGAAAACACGTTTTAAAGATACGTTTAATTTTACTCAAAAAAGGGTGCCGTGAAGGGTAGCTTAAAATACCTAAGAATGAAAAAAATGGCGTATCTTCAAATAGACCAGTATTTCCGGTGGGTCGTACGTAATTGGTCAGACTCCATCGTTCTCTATTTTGTTTCCTTTATCTTTCCCTTTCTCGAATTTCCCCATGAGTAAAAGGAAGTAGTATTCGCACATCTTTAACGCGTTTACTCACATGCAATATATACCACAAACAAAATAGCTCGTAGATGTGGAATTAGGTCACGTTGTTTAATTCATGAATCGGTGCTAGAATACAACGTTCTTGTAGAAAGATCGCCTACGAATTAGTTGGAAGGAAGAAGAAGCCCAAAGGACCAACAGAGCCTCTGGCGAAACTCGACGATGGAAAATGAAGATATACTTCCCTTTTGCCACGGCCGCAAAAATTTTCACGAGAGATTTATGTGCAAACGCTAAGAAAGAAACTTCATCGTTCCGAGAGAAAAACGAACGCGATATTTGCACGTAAATATCTGTGAAATTTACGTAGTCGACTATGGCCGACCGAAGTTTTGTGAAAAAAAAAAAACTTTTTCAATGGAATTTTGCATCCATTTCTTCCCATACTTTTTTTCTTTTTTTTTTAATAATATTATCAGCGGACTGTGGATATTTATGCACTTAAAATACGTTAAAATATGCGAATAATATATGTATAATATGAAAATATAGTATATATAAACATATGCAGCAATCTAACAAGAAGATATGCAAAAATATTTGATATATGTTATAAGTATATTAATAAACATGCTATAATAATAACATCACTATTTACTGATGATCGTTAAAAACAAAGCCTGTTGAATTTACTCAAGTAAAGTTCTTTAAGTTCAATTTGTTAATTTTGCCTTTTTAAATTTTAACGATTTATAATATAGTTTCAGGAATTTCCTTTCAGAGAGAGAGAGAGAGAACACTACATTACATTTAAAAATAATAAAAAATAATGTATGCATTTAGATTTATCATTACATTATCACACATTTTTAGATTAAAGAAAATCTGAATTATACTTGTTGTCATTCCCTAAAAAATTACGTAATATCGTAAATAACGTCTGTATACACTATAGAATTTTACTAGTAAATTTATCAAGATTTTGACTTGACTTGCGACATTTTAGCCCGAAACTTCAGTGAATAATATCGAATTTTTAAAATATATATGGCAAATTGAAATATACTTCTACACGTTCACTTAAAAAAATATATGCAAAATATAAAATATGCAACATAAATAATGTATATACAAAAACTAACAAAATTTTATATTTACGTTTCAAATTATTATTACTTTCCAAAAAAAAT